CATATTACCACAATTTCGCTTCTATAATACCCCTATACAGTACCAACTCGATCGCTGTCTCCTCGATCGCTGTCGTGTGCGAGAGAGACAGACATAGGATTCGGCGCTAGCCCGCTTCGCTTGCCGGCCCGAGCTCCAGACCGGCAGCGCCGACGCACGCTTGCTCGGGCCAGCCAGCGGCCGGGCCGAGCCTAGCCACACCCTCCCCGCCCCCCTTGCCCCGGCGTTCACCGGCCGGTACGTGACAGCTCGTCTGCTCGGCGTCCGTCTGCCGCTAGGCTGCCCCAGCCGGCCGGAGCGCTGTGGCGCTCGCCAGCGCGGCCGGGGCTAGTAGCAGCGAACGAACTGCTCTCACTATCGCTGTCGCGCGACAGCGATCGAGTTGGTACTGTAATATACGTATACTCCCTCGTACACGGCCAAGGGAAGTTGCCGACCCCTCGGGCCCCATAGAAACGAGGCCGCAGCACCGAGGGCCGTTCCCATCGCCCTCTCCCTCTCTCTCTCTCGCCCTTCAAGGGTTCGTCCCGAGGGGTTAGCCACTCGGTACTAGGGCGTACACACGATTCCGGATTCCCGCGATTCCTGAACAAATCTTGCATAAAAGGAGAGGTTTTTGAAGATTTTTCTTAGCTTTTGAGTGTTTAGTGTCTCTTACATATCCCTCTCCATTGAAACTTTTAAGATTTTCGATAAAATTTTGAGCAAGTTACGAACGATTCCCGGACTGAGTGTACACACGATTCCCGGAGTGGGTAACCCCTCGGTTCGTCCAAAGGGTACGTCCGAAATGAGTGCGAGAGAGCCAGACTCTGAATCAGTCCACAACTAATCAAGCCGGAGGCAGGGTAGTGCCGCTTTCATCCTGAACGTCGGACAAAGGTGGGCAGCGGTTGGGGCGGCTTGGCAGCGGCGACATCGCCACAGCGTGCACCGCACTGCATCGCACGGAGCGCGAGAGAGACGGGACGACTCTGCGCGGCTCTGCTGATGTCCGATACACGCCGCGCCGCCAGGGGACAGACGGCACCAAACCGAAGCACCATTCATTCATTCGTGTGGCCGCCGCGGGTCGCCGGAACGGCAAAGCAACGCACGCGGCCCCGTGGCGAGGCCGCCGTCACAGCTCTAGTCACGCGACCCTCGTCACGCGGGCCCTGGCAGTCGTCCTCCTATGCATCAAACTTGTGGTGGTGTCCGTGCCAGAGCCCTCTTTCCGACAGTGTAGGTGCGCCGCCGCCCCGCCCCGAATGCCTCCAGCCAGGCCGTGCCCCGCACACGGCACTGCAGGAAGCGCCCCAGCCGTGCCGGCCGCGCCGCCGCGCCGCCCCGGCCACAGAGCGGGAGGGCGGAGGCGGGCGGGCTACAGTCGCAGCCCAGCCAGCCAGACAGGGGGGCTCCTCCTCCCCCTCCACCGGCCCTATGAATGAGAAAATCCCCTATCTTGATCACCAAACTCGCTGAGGGTGTAGGGAACTCTTTTGTTTTATTAGCTTTTATTCGGTCTGGCGTATAAAGGGTTTCGTCTCGGCCCACCGCCACCAGACTGCCCCCTGCCTGCCGCCCCCCTCCCCCCCCCCCCCGCCCCGCCCGGCCGGTCGGCCCGGTCGGCCTCCGGCACTGTCTGGCCGGAGTGAGGGGGGAGGGAAGGTAAAGGGCCCGCCGGCCGGCCAGACTCGGCGGTGACGCTCCGAGACGCCCGCATTGCACTGTTAAAAACACGCCCGGTGCGCCGGATATCATCTTCCAAGGGCACCGCAGGGCACCGTGCCCCCGGGCGGGGCGGCAGGGTCCCCCCAAGCCCTGCGGCCCTGCGGCCCTGCGGTTCGGCGTCCGGTCGCCCCTGCCTTCGGTGTGCCTTCGGTGTGCCTTCGGACCGCCGCGGCATGCCGTTGGGGGCTTGGGGGCGCAGCAACACAGCTCCGCTGCACTGCGCAGTGACCTGGACGCTGGACGGAGACGACTCCGCGGCGACTCAATCAAGTCCGCGGCGTCCGCGGCGTCCGCGGCAGTGCGGCCGTCGCCGTCCGCGATGTCATTGCGACGGGCGTCGCGTCGCGGTGCCCCGCCCGCCCGCCTGCCTGGGCTGCCTGCCTGCGCGTGCGAGGCCAGGGGCCAGGCCGGCCAGGCAGCGGGCTGGTGGGCGCGGTGCTCGGCGGGCCGGCCGGGCAGACGGACGAGGGGAAGGGGGAAGGGGGGGAGGGGGAGGGGCGTCTGACGAGGTGGCTGCCGCTCCCCACCGCTCTCCGCCCGCCGCGCCGCCGCGCCGCCGGGCCGCGTCGGCTGTCTAGACGAACGCTCAACAAAAAATAAAACTTAAAAAAAGGAAAAATGGAAAAAAACGAAAAAGAGGAAAAGGAGTAGGAGGTGAGTGGAGGTGGGAGCAGTGCAAGTGCAGTGGCGACTTGGGCCGCCGCGACATGCGACTGCACGGACTGCATGCGACTGGGGAGGCCGCGACCTGCATCCTGCATCACGCCGGCCGTGCAGGCCGTGCAGGCCGTGCAGGCCATGGAGGAGCCCAGCGGCAACCATCGCCGGCATGGATGGGCATGGCCCGATCCAGCAGGAAACCGGGGCCGGGCTGGTATAGGCTGGCTGGGGCACTGTGCGGTCGACTCGCCGACACGTGGCCCACGTGGCAACACCGCGAGCGGCACTGCCATGGCACTGCCATGAGCGGCGTAGTGCACTGCATCCTTGTGAAGGACCTCTAGCCAGCCATTTCGGGGGGGGGGGGGGGCAAACTTGGGGCCTAGGCGCGGCATGCATGTCCTTGACGACCGCGCTGTCACCTTGCTGAAGCAAGGCCGAGCAAGGCGCACACTGCCAGTGGCGTGCGCAGAAATTTAGAAAGGGGGGGTCAGGCCACGCTTTTTGCCTACTTACAGGGGGAAAGTGGCGCAATTTGCCTACCTTTCAGGCGGCTGTCTAGTGGCCAAAGGGGGGGTCATGACCCCCCTGACCCCCCCCCCCCCCCTGCGCACGCCACTGCACACTGACATGCCCCTTGTGTGTCCGTTCACGTCATAGCAGCAGGCGGGCAGCCTCGCGCCAACACCTTCCCGACGGCGTCCGGATTCCCCCCCCTACCACCACCACCACCACCACCACCACACACACACATCCACGTCCACGGGTCTCAATCAAGAAATTTTAAAAATACCCCGTCGGAGTGAGTCAAGTTGAGCTGGGACGCGTCCATTTTCGCCAAGCGGACTGAGAGTCGTTTGTGTTGCTGTCTCTCTCGCACCCACGCGGGACGCCCCATTAGTGCGAGGGAGACAGAGCGACGCGTCCGCAGACATGAGCGCCGCGACGACGCCCATTGAGGCCGTCAACGCGACGGCTGCCCCTTTGTGCAAACGTTCCATGCGCAGAGTCGCGGAGTCATCGGAAAATTTCCTCCAGCCACGCGTTACCGCCCTCCTCGCGGGCAGCAGGACGCGGGGCGGGGCGGGGGGCGGGGGCGGGTGCCGCGATCGAGTGCCGATAAGACGCTTTCAAATGAGCAATGCGAGGGCCGCGGGGCCGCGGTGCAGCGAGGGGCCCAGCTGGGTCCGTCCTTTCGCGAGCAAGCACTGCCATCATGGCGCGCATTTCAAGAGGCGTTTTAATCATTCGCATCTCAGCGCAGCTGAGGACTGTGGTGCTGCGCCACAACGACAAGGGAAGGCACAGGGGGTAGCAACGGCCTAGGGAGAGCGTGAAGCGATGCTCGCGCCGTCAGTGCAGAGGTTGCGCACTTGTTCGAGATTATGAAAACTAGACTGTGTTTTTCAAAACACTTTGCACCGATGGAAAGGGCTTGAAATTTAGGGTGCATTAGGCTAATTGCCTTTCTCGAAACTCCTCCCTTACCTGATATTAAGGTGCAGTAAAAACACCAAAAAACACAAAAATCATAAAATTTAGGAAAAAACTCGAATGCGCCATGTTGATGTAAATGATTTCGCCCTTGTGTTCGGTTGAATTGGAAGTATCGGGCAGTCTACTAGGCCTAATGCACCACAAATTTTGTGCTCTTTCGATCTGTGCAAAGCGTTTTGCAAGCAACGGTCTAGATCTTACAATCGAAGCAAAATAAGTAACCCCTGCACCTTACTCGCGCATGGCTTCACGCGCCTCCTAGGCCGTTGCCGCCCCCTGGAAGGCACCTGGAAGGAGCGAGACCCAGCCTCTGGCCTGCACTCGCCTCTTCCGGGGTCACACGGCGCGGCCAACACACTAAGTGAAGCTAAGTGACACCAGCAATGGCAGAAAGGCGGGACGGAAACGAGTCGGGGAGAGGCGGGGAAAGTGCGGCACCGAACTCTCGGCATCTCTTCCATAAAGTGACGTTCTGAAATGTGCAATGCACTTTGAGTAAACCTCTTTTCAGAACTTTACATATCCTCAGAAATTACTGTGAACTAAATACTCCAGAGAATTCAGTGGAATAGAACACAATTCATAATCAATGTCAAGGAGTAATTTAACAAAAAAATTAATATAGATCTTACATGACAACAGCTTTTGTTTAAATTTTCTGCGGTGATAGTTTGTATCAAATACACTGCTGGAGATACATTATTTCAAAGAAATGACTCATTGATGAGGGTATTGGGAAAAGTGGCTGGGCAACGCAAATAGATGCTATTGAAATTTGAATAGATGGATATGAGCAGGTAAAAATCATTCAATTTTTGAACAGACCTACTAGGCCTTGTAACACCAATGTAACTAAATGAAGACCAAGTATTAAATCAAGCTTAAAAATGTCTATATTCAGCAACCAGTTGTCGTTTCCAATGTAAAGTTGTTTAGATTCATGGAAAACCAACAAATGGAGCCAACTGACGAGTTGTCAGAACCAGAGGTCGCCTAGGCTAGGCTGTCATCGATGTAAATAGGGCAAGTGCTTTTACACCATCGTTTCGGCAGCATCGCTCAGAACGAGGCCGACCGAACCCCAGCACAGGCAAACACGATCCCTGCCTTCAGAAACATCTTTCACTTACAGAATCGACGAGCAGGGAGTGGAACACCGCAGAAAAGCGGGCTGGTCTGGGTGACGCGAGCGGAGCACTGGCGAACATAACCTCACTTTGCCGCTTCCCGCTGCCGAGTGGCACTTGAGTGGCACAGCAGTCCGGTCGCACTGAAATCCGTATCCTCGCGTGGGCACGCCAGGGCACGCCAGGGCACGCCTCACTCGGTGCTGTTCGAACCGCACGTCACAAAGTCCACCTTCACTAGACACCCTCCGAGCGGCCGGCCCGTCTCAAGAGTCTCACCACACGGCAAGCAGTCCCCGGCGCAGAGACGACGCCCCTTGACGAGTCGGGCGGCGGGGGCGGCGGGGGTTGTTGCGTGTCAGATTGTCCTTCGGTCACGACGCGACGTGACCAGGGGAGAGCTCTCATAGAAAAGTACAAAAACGGGCTAGACGTCCGGGACCGTCACGGCATCATGTCATGTCCCCACGGCGGACCGGGCCCGACTGCTGCTGGCTGGCTGCTGGCTGGCGGCTGGCGGGCGGGCGGGGCGGCTGGCTGGCTGGCTGCTGCCTGCTCTGCTGCCGCTGCCCGTCGTGCGACGAGCCGGGGCGACGCCTGCGCCCTCTCGCGGCCACCGGGCCAACTTCGCCGCGGCGCGGCACTGGCAGGCACTTCGTTTCTTCGCCTTCTTCGCGCTCTCTCGGTTTGTTGCTCTTTCTCTGCCGCACCCTTAAGGCTGACCCCTTGAGTGCGAGAGAGAAAGAGCAGCAAACCGATCTTCGTACTAATCGCTCGGCAGGCACTGGCACCGTGCAGCAATGGCCAATGGCCGGCGGCGTAGTGCTGTTCAAGGTTCGGGGCGCCCGCCCTCGTACTCACTCGCCCTCAGGCTCAGACTCAGGCTCGGGCTCGGGCAGCCTGAACGCAGCGCGGCGTCGGGGCGCATCTTGCCACGAACCACCGGCCGCCCGAGATCCGTTTCGGCGCTCTGTCTCATGGGCAGGCGCGGACAAATGGGGCAAAGGGGGTTTTGCCGGTTTTGCCCCCCCCCCCACCCTAGATAACCGATAGGAATGCAGGCAAGAAGCTATTGTACCCCGTGTAAGTAGGCAAAAGAGTGCCACCCTCCCTCCCCCGGCCGCCCCTGGATTCGCCACTGCCTTTAGAGCGTCGAGAGGCCTGTGGAACCCCAACCCCAACCTCCCCGGCACCGCCGCCCTGCCGCCCTGGCCGCCCTCGATGTCATCGGTCAAGGAACACGCTGCACGGAGATGCGCGGCCTGATAGAGACCTCCGCTCTCTGCCTCTCTGTTCCTGTCTCTCGGTCTCTCGCTCTCTCTCTCTCTCTCCCACTCTACAGTTGGCACTCCGCACTCCACTTACATCGCACCCATAGCAACGAAAGGCGGGCGGCTTGGTCTTGCAGGTCTTCCCCGCTATTCATCAAAAGTCTGGTCAAAAGTCCATCAGTCGTCTCCCCGGGGCCGTGCGCCCCCTCCGCCCGCACGCCCCTCCCGCGCGGGGCTTCGCCGCTTCGCGGCTTTCGCATCCTAGCCAAAGAGGAAAGAGGAAATCCGGAACAAAATCCCCTTGCCAGGCGCTGGCCGCGCTGGCCGCGCTGGCGCCCGCAGGGTGCGGCAGGGCCGGAACCAGGCTGCTGGGAGTCTAACCTGATTTATCTGACTTGATTTCACAGACAGGTGTGCGCCTGGCCGAGACGGCCGAGAGGGTGCGAACCTCGACGGCATGCCCGCCACACGCGCCCCACGTGCCCAAGCGGGCGGGGCACCTGTGATTGCGATTGCGACCTTTTCATTCAAACCGCGCTCAATCAAATCACCGGCTATGCAGCGGACGGGTTGGCGGGGTTGCTGGCAGCGGGGGAAGGGAACTCGGAAGGGAATGCGGCGTGGACTCCGCGGACGGCGGGCAGGGGCAGGTGGAAGGGAATGCCCTGTTCCTGTTGACGGCGCCGACGAACCGCCGCGGGGTTGCTTCCGGTCAAGTCTCGAGGAACGGCGCGGGGGTGTCGACGGGCACGGCCAGCACGGCCAGCACGGCCACGGGACGTCCGTCGACCCCGCGGCTAGCGGCTAGCCCATTTGCATCCTCATCCATCCAGGGATTGCTTAATGTGGGAAAAGCAAGCCGCCATTGTGCGGCCTATGCCGGCCGGCCGCGGTGTCGGCTGAAGTGTTGGACTAGCTGGGGGAGAGAGAGGGGGGGAGAGAGAGAGAGAGAGAGAGAGAGAGAGAGAGAGAGAGAGAGAGAGAAAGAGAGAAAGAGAGAGAGAGGGGGGGGGCATAGACAGACAGAGGGACGGGGACCAAGCCTGGCTCTCGTCACGGCCTCAACGGCTGGGCTCCTCAAGGCCCCTTTGCTCGAATCGCACAGCACCCCGACGATCTGAATAGAACTTGAAGGGATTCGGAACAGCTTCCGCCGCTCTGCCTCTCTCGCACCCCTACGTGGCCTGCCGAGGCCCTGGCCGGGGCCCTGGCGCCCCACGAGTACAAGAGGGGTAGAGCGACGAGGAGACAAGGCGATGCTGTGCATGCACCGCCATGCACCGCCATGCACCGCCGTGTGGAGTGCAACGCGTGTCTGGCCAAGAGAACCGCTTGATGCAAACTTGGGCGAGCCGCGACCGTTCAGGCCGAATGCAGGAGGGGCTTGTGGTGCCCGTCCCCGACACGCGGCCGACGATCGCCATTCAGTCCGACCTGAAAGGCCGAATTCGGTGCACGGATCGTCCAAGTTGGGCCAGACAGGCGCCGAGTGGTGCACTGCGGTTACTGTGCGCCCTGTGCGCGGTGGTCGCAAGATTCAAGGTCTTCGAGGTGCAAGGCTGGAATTCCTGGCATTCAATCCCAACGGCATACAGCTTCCAACTTGGCGGTGAGGTGAGACTCCCAATCCCCAGTCCTCCGACCGGGAAGACCAGACACTCCCGCCCAAGGGCGGATCCAGGGACGGGTTCAGGGGGGGGCGACGTCGCGAAAGTTGCCTACCTACAGGGGTTATGTGCGACTTTTTGCCTACTTTTCAGGCGGCTTCGCCGCCTTCAGGGGGGCGCGACGCCCCCATCGCCCCCCCCTTGGATCCGCGCCTGCTCCCGCCCTTGCCGCGCCGCCCAAGACTACTCAAGGCGGTCGACGAAGCTATCGCCGCGGGCAGCAGAAAGAAAGAACCCCGTGACAACTCCTTTGGTTGAATGCCGATCACAGTGTCGCAGACGGTCGCAGCCTGGGCAGTGCGCCCCCGACTGACGCACATATTCATACTGTACTGAACGCGGCAGCGCGGCCGTAGGCTAGGCCAGGGCAACTTTCCTTTCCCGCCGTCGAGTTGCCTCGTCTCGAGGAAGTGTCCACGGGCCGGGCGGATGTCTGGGAAACAAGGCAAGTCCGGGCCGCGAGGCGAGTCAAAAGTCAAGTCGTCTAGACCGTCTAGACTTGTCGGCGGCGGTTGCGCCACACGGGGCAGCACACCGAGTGCGCGAGCAGCGCAAGGCTGCCGCCATGCCGCCGCCATGCCGCCGCCATGCCCCGCCGGTCTTGACCGTCTTGACCCCATCGGTGACTCGGTGGGCGGCTCGCTTTCACGCTCATCAGCATATCAGCACGAGGAGCACGCGGTGCCGGAAATCGGGAATCGGGGCGGCTCGAGAAGAAACACCGACGCCGAAGCGAGTGACGCATTTTCGGCGGCATCTCTGTATAGGGGGCGGTGGATGTCGCCCTTCTCTCATGTTGTCGGGTGGTGTGCGGCGTGCCCGCGAAAACCGAAAGCGGAGAGCGGACGGCGCTCCAGCGGCGGCACTCCAGTGGACGCGCGGGGTGACAAATTAGTGAGCCGGGGGAAAGGGCCGCGCAAATAATTCCGGAGTGTGATAGGGCGCGGGGCAAAGTCACAAATCAGGGACGCCAACTTTACTGCCTCGCCGCAGACGCCGACCCCGGGCGCACGGCCCTCGGCCCGTGCCACGCCGTGCCCCACGCCGTGCCCCACGCCGTGCGGTGGCGTCGCAGCGTCGCGGACGCGGGGAAAGAGGGGAGGGGCGTGGGCTTCTTCTGCGCGCTCGGCGCGCTGCAACTCTGTCGATACCCAAGTTGACAAAGTTTTTCACGCGCGCGGGTCGGGTACATTGGCGCAGTCAGAAGATCGGGCGCCGTGCCGCCTGCCTGGCGCTGCCCCTCCCGTCCGCCGGGGCGGGGCGCGGCGGGGCTCTCCGCGAAGAAACTCAATCAGGCAGGTGCGCAGAGGCGGCGCCGCGACGCCGGAGTCGCCGCACCGCGCACGTGCAGGCCAAGCAGGCCGGGAAGCCTCGCCAAACTCGACCCACACCGCGGTTCGCGCGTCTGCCGGACGGACGGACGGACAGACAGACAGACAGACAGACAGACAGACAGACAGACACACAGACAGACAGACAGACAGACAGACAGACAGACAGGCGGACGGACGGACGGACGGACGGACAGTATCAAACCGAAAATAGACCTGGCTGGACACGAGGCCTATACCGCGAACACGAGCTGGACGGCCGCTTGCTTCGGCGCGGCGCGTTGCGGCGCCCTGCTGCAGCCTGCGGCGGGGTGGGGCTTGGCCGCTTGGCCGCTTTGGCGCGGCTTGGGGCTGACGCGCTGACGCGCTGACGCGTCAGATTGCCGGGGCGGACGCGCGGCGCGGCGCAGCGCGGCGCTGAGTGGCGGAAAGGGGAGACCCACGCGGAGCGCGGAGCGGCGTGGGACGCGGACTAGCTGTTCTAGGCAGCGCGACGGCAGCGCGTCCCTGCACTGACAGCCGATACACCGCGGCGGGGCGGGGCGGGGCGGGGCGGGGCGGGGCGGGGCACACTCCCACAGGGACACCACGTAATGCGTTCCACAAGAACAGGACTCACAAACGAGCGAGACGAAGATTAAAATGGAATCCGTTACTCGCACACTCGAGCCGTAGAAGCTTCGCAATGCACCCCTGGCCTAGGCCGAGCGAGCTCGCCGAAAGCCTCCCCCCATCTTCTTAATGACCACCGTTTTCTTTACTTTCCGCCCCGGGCGCGCGGGGGCCGCGATCCGCCGCGATCCTGCCGCGCCCCTCTTCGGCGTAAATCGCTCGTCGCGTACACAATTTGTGGAAAGCGATCGTGAGCTACGTAACACATTTTAGTGTTTACATGTTTAGTCTACGCGGCCGGCGCGCCGACGCCGCGCTGCGCCGCACGGGCCGAGAGGTATCGCTGGCGGCGGCGTGGCGCGGCAGGGCGTGGCGCGGAGTGGCGCGGAGTGGCAGGCGGCAAGGCACTGCGCGGCGTGTCTATTTTCACCGCGGCCACTGGAAAAATATGGCAGCTAGGCAAACGGCGGACGGATGCATAATTTTCGCATCATCGGCTGGATGCGGCCTTGCGCTGGTGCCGCGGTGCCGCGGTGCGGCGGCTGGGCCCCGCCACTGCCACGCGACGCCCCGGCGGCCCTGCCGCGCGATGCGCGCGATTCAGAGGAGTCGTTTCGTCGCTCTGTCTCCGTCGCAC